ACTTGAGGGATGATTGATAAGTGTAAATTCAGATTGTATGCTGAGTGAAGAAGTTAAGTGTAGATGGTAGATTGATGATGATCTAATTTAAATGAGGATAAGTAGGTGGATGAACGAAATTGATAGAATCAATCAGATGGTAGTAAGTAAATGGAAGAACGGATAGATTTGATTGGTTGGATCAAATTCAAAAGTAGTCTAATGGTGTTTTTTAAGAAGCCGAACAGCGGAAAGATGTCGGATTGCTAAATCTGATGGTGTAAAGGCTTGATGAGTTGATTTTGGATTGGATGAGAATTAGATTTTGAAGGAAGCGATTCAAGTTGAGCTGGCAATTAGTTTTAGTGAGTTTCTTTAAAGTCGCTCAATGGAATTCGTTCACCAATTTAAATACTACCATATAAGCTTCTTTATTTCCATTAAGCAAACCCCAATTATGTACAGTCATTTAAGAAAAGCTTGCCCCAAATTCCCCGCCAATTCGCTCGAGTTTTGCGGGCAATTTAGGGCAAGCTTTTCTTAAATGACTGTAGGATTCCTTAAACAGCTGTCTAATCCTTCAATCAGCCTTCTCTAATTTCAATATCAATCTGTCCTTATAATTTGAACTGAAGAAAGCTAACAAATCGCTTGATTCGTTTTACACCCTTCAAAACTTGTAATCTTTTTGTTAGTTCAATTATATGCTGTTGTGAACCCCTCTTTGAACTATAAAACCGTAGTGGGCATCATTCAACATCTCAAGTCTTTTTTTTCTTGGTTGTAAATACTTGTAACTCGCCTGCGGCCTACATTAACATACTGGGTTTCTTTTCAGTGACCTTTCCTCGAGACCAAGGTACTTGTCATCAAAACAAACCTCCACGCGTCTTCAAATTTCATTGAATGCGCGTCATCAGGCGTCATGATTCATAGTCTGTGCGGTAGATTCAAAAAACATCACCAAGCATCACCCAGGTTCTATTATCTATATATAACGATTCCGATTTATTCGTCAATCCTAGATCACTTTGCTTATCGGACACAAGTTCGAGCCAAGACCTCCTTGTCAATCGCAATTGTCTTGATCGTTTGATATTTCCTTTAAGTTTTCTTAGGTCGCACACAGTAATCAATCAAGTCACAAGAGTTGACAAGTTTTAAGCGGGCTTTTGTTGTACGTAACGGTCTTCAGCCCGGTCTCAAGGTATTCCTGTCGTTCTCGAAAAGCTTGTCCAAGTTTTCCCGCCAAATTGCTCGAGTTTTGCGGGAAAACTCAGACAAGCTTTTCGAGAAAGTCTTTCAATGGGGTTTTATCAGATAATTGCGTCATATCTTACGCGCAGACATCCGGTCAAAGCAACTCTGAGGAGTCACTAGGTATGGTGATCAACTTCTGCTCTAATGTTCTGTAAATCACATTTTGGTGACTTAGGCCCCGTTTGGGAGCGGTTATTTTACCGCGGTATTTTCGTAATTGCATCAATACCACAGTGGTATGATCTTACCACGTTTGGTACCTTATTTTGCTGCAGTATTGTACCACAGTATTTAGACAATAATCTGACAATACTGTGGTATTGCGATAATTGACAAAAAGCTGTTTATGAAAAATAAATCCGCACGGTGAAAGGGGACTTCGTCAAATTTGATCTCTTCCCCTTCCCTTTGTAATTCATCGGCTCCTTCCATCCGTTCGATTACAAAACTCACTATCAACCCATCTTCAACACCTTCACACTTCAAGATGAAGACAACCACGAGTTCAATATTGGTTTGTCAATCGACCTCATCGCACTGTACCTTTATCACTTCTTCCTTCAATCCACCGTTCCCTCAATCAATCTCGTCGCTTCTCAAATTCTGTCACTCGCTTTGATAACCTTGTTTCTCCTTCAATCAATCTCATGAATATCAAAGGATATGTATCTTTTCAAATTCGCTAACAATATGAAAAAGATGATCAAGATGATTCCTTGACGAGAGAAAAGTTCCAGTTGATTGGTGATGAGGTTCACAACTTTTGATGAGTTACGATGACCAAGCAAGTGAATTAATGATGAAAGATTGTTAAGTCTGTTTGAGTGTGGATCGAGAACAAACGATGTCAGAGGTTTTGTGGGTATACATACATACATACCACAGTCAGGAGAAAATCAGCGCGAGTGGTGTTGAATTGCCAAACGATTATGACCAAAAACAGAGATTATAACTGTACCACACTACAAGTGCGGGTTTTCATCTCTACTGCATTATTGGGGCCAAAAATGCAGTACACTTTTGCAGTACATTACACTTTGTCACCGCTCCCAAACGGGGCCTTATTGATATATTCATGCACCACAGGAAATTGAGTTGATCTTAAAAATGAATTTCTAGGATGAATTTCTTTGAATTCTTGGCGAATGTTGGATACCTTTGATTAACTGCTTAGTTTTTGTTAGTATGTACAGTCGATTGCAGAAAGCTTGGAAACTTTTGCCCGCCAAACTTGAGCAAATTGGCGTGGAATTCTTTCCAAGCTTTGTGAAATTGACTGTACATATTCAAATTGTTGTTCTTCAAAGCCAATAAGAAACTAAAGATCAGTTTCATCCAGTTTCATCCTAGGGTACATACCTCAGATTGATGAATCGAAAGATATCCAGTTCGATCGTATAGGTTCAAGTGATTATTGAGCTAAGGAGCCATTGCCAAGCGTACTTACCGATATTCAATCGACATTTTAGACTTGAGATGGCGATACAAAAAGGTTTTGGAATAAGCACCATAGATAACAAAGACAATCAACAAATTGAATATCCCGAAAACTTTCAGAAATATCCGTAAATGCTTGATGTCAATGGGGACTGACCACTTTTCATATCATTGAAGTAATTAGTTACCCCAAGGACTCTAGCTCAGACTCCAGAGACGATGGAGCGATGACCAGACGGCGAGAAATGCTACTATCTTTTGATCCTTTGTTGTTTGATCGCTTCCTCACAATCTTTTACTCCCCTTGAGTGCTCATTGTCAGATGTTGGCTCAAAGGGCTCGTTCACCGTTGAGGATGTCAGATCCCGGCACTCCAAGTTTGATTATGATTATCTCAGCCGTCAAAAGTGAGGTAAGACGATTTATCAAGTCTTGGCAGTTATTATCGTCCATGCTCACGATGCCTGCCTAAAGAGCGAGAAGTAAACTTCCTCACGGCAAAGTCAAGCTCACTTATATCACTTTTCATCAGGCACGAATATGTGGTATACTCATCTTGGTGACACGCTGGAAGCCTTCCTGCGTGTCAGTGCTTCGTGTTATTTTCATCATGGGCCTTATCTCATCGCTCAGCCTCTCAGTTGTTAAAGCTGTACCTCGTACTCATCGAGCACTGAGTCTTTAAGGCACTTGTACATAAACGTCGCCTGTGAGACTCTGGTTGTTGGACTTTTTAAATAATTAAATTCATATTCCTTGACCATCTTTCAGCGTCTCAGCTTGGGTTAATGTCAAGTCGAGTCTCATTAAGAGAGATGCATTATAAATAGTTCAACTATAGTCATATCCATAGCCTTTACATACTTCATCGACTACATCTTCACTCACAAGTTTACTTTTACAATCCTACAATCTTCACAGATCCAACTCATCTCTAGAGAGTCACCATCATTCACTAACTGTGATACCCAGTCTTCTTTTAATCACTTTACTTTCATTACCAGAAATCCCAAAAATCTTTCTCATGAATCTAAATCAGTATTCTCTAGCTAAAATGAGAACTTCAAGAAAAGTACCAGATAATGTTGTTCTTGCACCAAAGTCAAGGTTTCGACAAGTCAAGAAGATTACCCCAATAAGAGAACATCCAATTCTTAAAAGTAAGTGATTTGAGTCAAGTTTCAATATATCCTTTTATACATACACTTTTATATTAAGTACTGATGTTGATAAACTCTGTAGAGTTTTTCATCATTCCAAGATCCGTACCAACAGAGTACTTCATACGTTCTTCACGTCGAACTGGAGCCCGTCGTCATTCTGAGTACATGTGAGTAAGATTTTTGATGATTTCTTTTTAAAGGTTCTTGAAATACTTTTACTGATGAAAGATATTGAACTATACCACTTTAGAAGAAGAAACTTATGAGAGAGGGATTGAACAACACGAAACTTACCATTATAAAGTCTTTGGTGTTTGAGTTTCTGAGGCCGTTTTGAAATTTTTATAGAATCGTCTCATATATACATATATAAATCCTGATTGTGTAATCTTGTTGTTTTGAATTTCTTTTATTGTATCATCATTAATTATCTTCAACTTTGAAGTTTTCAGTAAGTACTATCTTAATAATTGACTTGAAATGTATTATTGTAAAACTTCTATATAAAGCATGATGTAAGATTTATTGATACTCATAAAACTGATACAAATACAAAGAAAAGAAAACAGTCCTCTATCACAGGCTCACAGAGAAAAGTGTAAATTCATATCATATAAAACCTCAGACCATTACAAAGTAGGTTGAAGTGTGTCAAAACTTGCAGGCTAAACAAAGAATGGTGATATGGTAGGTGCAAGTGTGATACATGAGGTTGTGATTACATATAGCTGTGTGATCAACTTATCCATGTTATATTTCTATAGCAATCATATTGATCTCAGATATGATCGCTGCAGAATTATAAAATGGATAAGTTGATCAAAACAGCACAGAGGCTGAGCTCCATCGCTCCATGGACCATATCACAATCTCTACCTCAAGAATTTTATTCTCGGATAAAATATTACTTTGTTAGGCAGTTAGATCATTCACGATTTGGGACTGGAGCTGGAGTTGTGAAGCATAACAAATGGAAAGTTTAAATTCACATCATGATTATTATAAAAAAGGTCTTTCATCTAAGAAACATTTCATATTTTCAATTGACTCAAGTCAAGTTTGAACTAATTAAAGAAAATGATTCCTTGATAGAAAATTGACTATAAATAAATATTATAATTCAAGAAAGAATGAGATGTATGTATATATATATAATTGGTTTTAATGATGCTCTGTGTTGTTACCTGTGTTGTTACCGTAGGGGTTAGTGGCATCAACAGGAGGTTTGTCTGTGAGGTTACCTTTGGGATATTGTTTAACAACCGGCTTTCCACCTGCTTGTCCAGATAATTCTTTAGCAATCTTTCCGTTGACGAGTTCAACCATGTCAACTCCAATTGTAGCATAAGCCTCTACATTAACGTTATCCCGAACGGTCACAGCTACCTTGATATCAACTTTAATCACCAGATCAACCAAGTTGGAAATGTGAACCTTGAAAGAAGAAAATATGTCTAGAGGATCAAGTATGATGATTAGACTTGATCAAAGAGACACTTGAAGATGAATTACAAATCTTTTACCTTGAGCCGATTTAATGAGAGTTTTATCTTGAGTTCCTACGATGAGTTCAACAACCACTTGAACATTAGCTAAGACTTGAAGCACAAGATCTTTGTAACCGTCCTGCAAAAATGTTCAAAACCTTTGTCAGAAAAAAAATTAAACAAACAAACCAATCACTTTAAAGAAAAACCCTAGCTCACAAGATCAACTGCACCCTTTTCGGAACAATTACAATTATTCATCCCATCAACAAATGATTTAAAAGCTTTAATGACCACTTTCAAATCGCTAGCAATCAAAACTTGGGCTTGATCTTCATGTACATGATGTGAGATTTGTTTTGCTTTGTCTTTGATTTGGTTAACTGCATCTTTAGTGTATTGTGATGGATCTTTTTTCGGAGGTGCTTGCTGTGTTCTACGCGATAAGCTGAAAATAATTTAAACAAGACAATCATCAGAACAAGGGCAACATCCGAAAAAAAAATAACTAGAATCGGTTTGTGGTACTCACCTGAAGCCACCCGATAGTTCCGGTATGCTGAAAGAAGCAGCAGTGTGGCCTATGATAGATGGGAAGAAAGCGTAAGCAAGTTCAGAGATCAATCTTACTATCTGACACGACTTTGGTTTTGATTATTTAAAGAATTATTACGAACATAAAAGCGCTATTGGGAGCATGATGGAAGTTGAAAAGAGCATGATGAGGTCTTGGAATGATTACAAGGATAAAAGATTGTGGAAAGCTCGTAGGACGTAATGAATGTGCAAATGTGTGTGAGACGGATGATGAACCTATGAAGGAAAGGTCGTGGTGAAAGGAGTTTTATAGGCGGGATCTCAAGTGCATACATACCTGGGTTCGCCGGCTTTCTGAATGGCAAGACAAACCACGCGTCCGATAAGCCATGAGGGACTCCTTCGGTTTAAGCCGAACTCGGTTGATCACGAGCTTGGACGCCGACAGAACCTCGGGACCACTGAGCCGCGCCACACAAAAGTCATTCCGAGAAGAGCCATTAATTTTATGTACTGCGAAAGCCTGTGAAGCTTCCATGAGGTTACGCCAGGACACACCAGCGTATAAACTGACACTTCGGGATCAATGTATTCTCGATCACTTGTAAGAGTTTTGTGGATCAATTTTTTGTACCTCATCAGTCGAGATTTATTTGAAGCTAGTGAGGATGAAATCAATAGCATCAAGACTGATTTCGATTAATCAAGTCAGGATTTTTGGGTATCACGATCCTAGAGTTACAAACTATACAAAAGAGAGGTACGAGTATGTACTAAAACCTGAAGCAGCGCTTACGTTGGTTCATGATACATACATGAAGAAGGATATAAGGCATATAGCACGTAGAAAGACCTTCATTTGTGAAACGTACACATTCACGATTCCTTTCCTTTCCAATCTTTCTGTTTACTGAAGACTCTTAAAGCTTCTAAGAAATCTTTCCATCCATCTCTTTCAGCAATTAAAGATCCAACGCTAAGCAATGGTTTCTTAACATCAATCTTAGATTTAGCATGATCATCGAATTTAGCTTCATGATAATCTGCAAGATAACTAATCGCGTTCAGATTTCCAAGACCTACTGAACTTTCTGGAACGTTACTGTGTGGTGGTTCAAAGAGAATTCGGGTAGAGATACGAGCTGCGCGTAAATGGACGATAGAAGTACGTAACCCAAGTTGGACGTTCTGTACGATTCAAAAGCTTCATATGATTAGCATCTCTGTAGTTTGATTGAAATTGGAGAAAGAGTCGGTTGACTTACATTGAGTGTTGTAAAGTATTCTTGAATCGATTCGGAGAAAGTTTGAATCGATTTAGAATCCTCAAGTTTAGCTGAAGGTGGAGGAGGTGATAAACATTCTAATGCCTTTGAAGCCATACCAAGTAATGCAGCGATTTGCTAAAAAAAAAAGAAGGACAAATATGAGATAGTCAGAGAGAAATGAGTGGTATGTTTTGATGAAAGATACAAACTTCATCAACAAGACCAAGTTCACGTATCCGTTGAGCACTTCCAATTTGACCATTACTTGAATTTTCTTCATTTGAATCTTCTTCCATCATTGTATTACTATGATCAACTCCATCGATCAATATCGCTTTTCCTTTGCGTTGACTCATCCAACTACGAGTAGCAGCTGTAGGAGGATTTTGATTTGATGTGGGAAGCGATTGAGGATCGATGGAGAGATTGAGAACGGGTGCTTCTACTTCATCCATATCGTCATCGTCATCGTCGTCATCATCTTCACTACTTGAACCGAATACGTTAGGTGTTTTGGGGGTCGCGTTTGCTGCTGGTACAGGTGGTAGATCTCGAATTAGATTTGCGAGTGTTGGAACAGGTTGGTTTGAAGGGTTATTTGGATCTGGATCACTTGAATCAGATTGATTATCTAGAATTGGTTGAGTAGTAGGAAGAGTTGAAGCTTGAACTTGAGAAGGATCGGTATGATCGTTTGAAGTTGTTAGATTGTTGTTAGTTTGTGAGATTGAAGTTAATGAGATTGGATCGAACTCGATTGAAGAATCAGAGTCACTTGAAGATGAAGATGATTGTGACATTTTGATGATGTCCTTAATGTTGTTGTTGCTGTTGTCGCTGTCGATATGCTGAGCATCGACTTTCAAAATATGTATGCATCTGCCGCACGCATGCAGCAAAAGTCATGCGCGCCCAGCTGCACCCAATGATTGACGCGCCAATGTTCGAACAGATCAAGATGAAGAGATAGCTCAGGTCCAATGACTTTAATTTGTATTCCTCATCAATTGTTAAATTGACTGGATACATTGTGTTTGTGGACACAAAAAAATGTCAAGCTTTATTTCACATTTGAACCATATAAAAAGTCACAAATTTACGCGTGTTCACATAATCTGGGTCAGCAAAAAGTGCACCGATCACTGAGCCTGTTAATATGGCGTTTTAAATCTGAGGAGCATTTTCTCATTACGTCTTGCGCCCTGGGTCGTCTGCAGAGCGAAGCGAGTGGACTTGGTCAAGTTTGCAGTGCACTGAAACCGTGACGGACCCGCGGTGACTTTTGGAACCAAAAACACAAATTTTTAAGCTCTTGCTTTGAAACCTTTCTCACAACAAACTTTTGATTCTTTCTCTTTGTAAACTCAATTTGTTTCACAACTGGCAACTCTTCTAGATGAACATATACAATGATGTTGTGACTTAATCATATGTGATCTATCTGAATCGCGAGCTCTTCCATCAGCACCTAATCACATGGATATTCAAGTGATTTGATTAGGTCTTATGCACTCCAGAATGAATCTCTTCACTTAAAGACACCTTGATCATGTCCTTGGATCATTTGCTAACAATATTAAAGAAGATATTGTGGAGCAAAACGAATGTCAAGTTTGATTTCAGATCTTGATCATATAAAAAGAAATGCACTTCTTTGAAAACACACTTCACATCTTTGACTAAGTCGAATCAAGTTTGAACGTATTTTGCCAAAATGCTCCCTTTTGAAAATTGTCAATCTTATAAACATGATACTTTAAGAAAGAGATGGATACATGATTTGTCTAATGATGGCCTGTGCTGTTCTTTGGGGGAATAGGGCCTGTGCTGTTCTTTGGAGGAATAGGACCTGTGCTGTTATCTTTGGGATAGTGTTTGACATCAGGCTTTCCTTCAACACCAGCTTGTCCGGATACTTCTCCAGCAACCTTTCCGTTCACAAGCTCAACGATGTCAACTCCGATAGTAGCATAGGCCGATGCATCAACGTTATCCCGAACGGCCACAGCCACCTTGATATCGACTTTGATCACGAGGTCGACCAATTTAGCAACATGGACCGTGAACTGAGAAAATACATCTGAAGTATCAAGGGTCATGATTGTAGTGACAGAGTCTCAGGTGAGCACTCTGTGTCTCGCTCGATGTTCCGGCTCCAACGGTCTGTATTCCAAGGACTACAACAAGATAGAGGAATGGGCTAACCTGTAGTGACAGAGTCTCAGGTGAGCACTCTGTGTCTCGCTCGATGTTCCGGCTCCAACGGTGAAGAGCCAGAATATCGAGGAGCGGTACAACTATAAGAAGTAAGATCACTAAACCTAAGCCCCGAGCTTTGTCGTAGACGTGGCCCCGTTCACTAACCTAGCCACTATGGCCTCCGGCCATAACACCCCCCCCCACGGCAAGACAAAGCATATCCTCCAAGAAAAGAAAAAAATGAAAACACACACATAAACAATAACAAAAATAAGACAAAAAAAACAAAAAATAACACAAGAGATAAACAATCACACAAACTATCATCACTTCCTCACTATACACACACCCAGCTGACTCCTAGCCTCTTTGAACTTTAATGGACCTAAAGATTTTGTAAATGTGTCCGCTAATTGTTCGTTACCCGGTATCCATTCAAGGTCTACTTTCTTTTTATAGAGTTGTTCATTGATATAATAAAATTCCCTCTCTGTGTGTCGAGTGCGTTTGTTTGCTGCGTTGTCTTTCGACACATGTATGGAAGATTTGTTGTCACCGAGTATGAGTGGAATATCAATCCTTGGTATGATGTCTTGGATGAGAGATTGCAACCAAATAGTATCTCTGCATGCCGCGCCAACCGCCATGAACTCGGCGTGACACGTAGACGTAGCGACACATCCTTGTCTTCGAGAGACCCACGCGATTGGGATTCCATACAATCTCGTCACATGCCCGTAAGTTGACCGTGCGAATTCTCCTCCCCAATTAGCATCTACAAAAGTCTCCACAGCACGCCTAAATTTCATCTTTCTTGGATTAATATCAAGTCCCATGTTGACAGTATCACGAACATACCGCAATAAGTGTTTGATAGCATGCCAGTGTTCTTCCTGGGGTGATTTGGAATATCTCGCCAAGAAGTTCACAGGGAAGGCTAAGTCCGGCCTCGTCCCTACAGCTAGATAGCTAATAGCTCCTATAATGCTAAGGTAGCGTTGGCTTTCAATCGGTGTCTGATCAATCGGAGTCGTCAATGCTAGATTTGGCGGTACCGGTGTTGTCGTTGAGAAAGAAGAAAGTAGGTCGCTGTTGTCTTTCACAATCTTGTTAGCTAAGTCTGATTGTGAGAGCATGAAGTGATCATTAGCCAATCGGTCGATTTTAACCCCAACTATGTTTGTCAAATCATTCTCCCACTTGATCTCAATCTGTGAACTCAATTCCTTCTCCACCTCCCTCAACAAATCATCAGAATCACTAGCCACACAACCATCATCCACATGTAACCATATTAAACACATCTTCCCATTGCGGCGCAATACGTAGAAGCTTGGATCGAATTGGCTTGGTTGAAATCCTAGAGCACGCAACTTCTCTTCCATGAATTTCCACCAACACCTTGCACCCTGTTTTGTACCATACAACGCCTTTAACAACTTCATTACCCGACCAAACTTGAAACCTGGTGGCGATTTCACCCACACGTCATGATCCATTGGGCTGTTAAGATATGCTGCGATGACGTCGAAACCACGCACTTTCAGCCCATAGTACGCCGCAATGACCAATGCCACCCTAAGTGCTGCAAAGGTTGCCGTCGGTGCAAAAGTCTCAGTGAAATCTATACCTTCAACCTGTGAGTACCCTTTAGCCACAAGCCTAGCCTTAAAGCGCCCGTCTCGTTTTATCGTAAACACCCACTTCAGATCTGTGAGGTGTTGGCCTTCAGGTGGATCACTCACTTCCCATACACCCATGTCGGTGAACCGCTGTAGCTCTTCGATACACGCCGCCTTCCACTTCTCAGCTTCCGGCAAACGCATTGCCTCCGTGTACGATTTAGGAATGATTCCATACGGCGACGTTTGTGTTTCAATCATGAGAGCTAGAGCGTCCTGTTCCTCCACGGCGGTTTCTCCATCGAACTCACCAAGGCGTAATGCATTTAAAACGTAAGCAAGACTGCCCTTGGATTTTTCGACGTCGGATAAAGTTTCGGCCGCGGACGTCGAGGGTGGTGGGGGTTGAGGTAGCGGAGGCCCATCAGACAAAAACCGTGCAAGAGAGGAGTCAACCGTAGTTGTTAACTTCGTGTCTGGATCCCAGAAAGTCCAACCTTTCTTGCCTTTGGGGTAGCCGACCATCAGCATCTTCTTACCACGTACGTCTAGTTTACGGCGTATCTCACAAGGAATGTGGACAACTGCTGGTTCACCAAAGGTACGTAGGTAATCGAGGTGCGGCTTCCGACCGAACATCAGCTCAAAAGGTGTCTTGAGCCCAGTAGCAGCATTAGGAATTCGATTGTGTACATGAGACGCAGCGGTGTGTGCATACGCCCACATCTCTTCCCCAAAATTAGCTGCGTGCAACATCGTCCGACCCATATCTGAAATTGTTCGTATGGATCGTTCGGCAGTTCCATTCTGATGATGTTCGTATCTGTTTGTCTGATGGTTAATGATTCCACGTGCTGCACACCACGTGTTCATTACCTTAGAAGTGTATTCACCAGCTCCATCGCTTCGTAGCTTCTTCACTTTCAAGCCAGTCTGGCGTTCCATACGTTCTACGAATTCAAAGAACATCTGGGGGAGTTGGTCACGTTTAGCCACACAGATTGACTCTGTATAAGTAGTGGCAACGTCGCGGAAGTTGATCATATAGCGTGCACCGTTTGCTGAAGGTGCATATGGCCCGGCCACATCACTAACAATCAACTCCAATGGTTGTAGTCGTCCACCGGAAGACGTCAAAGTAATTGAGCGTAAGCTTTTACTTTTCAGACAATCCAGGCAGGTAAAAGGTGTTTTGTCGATCTTATCAGGAAGGCCTGACACAACTCCATGTCGAATCATCCTTTGGATGTTGCGCATGCTGGTGTGTCCAAAACGACAATGCCATTTCAGCGCTTCATTCACAGCTGGCGGTGCTCCAAGCTTGGCTTCGTTGGTCTCTAAAGAGAATGGGGCAGGATGGACAATTCTCGACGGGGTGGGTAATTTGAGCAAATCAATGGCCGTAGCTTTCATTACAGGGACAGTCCACCGTCGCGCATTCATGTTAAGATCTGAAGTAACAACACCACCACACGGAAACACAAGTTTCATCTTGCCATCTTTCGCATCCCATGAGCCACCAGACTTCACCAGTTGAGGGATCGAAATCAGTGTGCTGCTGGCCAACGGTGAATAGTAGGTATTTGGGATCGGAATTGGTTTGCCGTCGTCACCCTTGATGTGCATCGTGCCAACATGAGTCACAAAAGCCTTAGGTGCTTTTGTCGCCACCGATATCGGGATCGGTCTGGGCAAAATGCGGATGTCAGTCAAGCAGTTGAGTTTCCCAGTCACCATATGAGTGGCACCGGTATCACTCACGCCCTCATCCGGGTTCTCCCACATCTCGGTCAGGGTCCCTTCAGACGCCCAGATCCCGTCTGGTAAGGGTCCTTGATCCTCATCCACACCCGTAGCCTCGACAGAGAACTCCACGCCATTCGCATCAAGGAGATTAAGGCGAAACGAACGAGGTGGTGCTGACTCCGAGGATCGACTAGTTGATGGTTGAGGTGATTGGGTTTGCGACGGGTTCGGTGGATGTTTCGTAGGACAGGTGTCGGACCAGTGGCCAGTATTGTTACAAACATAACATATTCCTCTAGTATATACTGATGGATGAAATTTAGAAGGTACTCCAGCAGCTGGTGGTACAAACTTCGGTGTGACTTGACTGATTTGATAGGTTCTGGGAGGTGTGGAGGTAAGATTGCGAGAATTAAATTGAGGTGAATTGACGAAGATACCTCTGCCTCTGGATGGTGCAGCAGGTCGGTATAAAACACCCGTATTCCCAGCTCCACGTCTGTTCGCACCAGCTGTTGCATTGAAGGCATTGATATCAAGTTGGCTAAAGGCAGGAGTAATTGAGTCGGTCTGATGGATCTGTTTCTCAGCACGAATGGTTTCTTCAACTTCGCGAGCAGTGATGGCGGTGGATGGAGTACTTCGTAGTCGAGCATTCAAGGTATTGTTGACGTTTGTAAATGCGTTACCGAGACCAATTTGATACAAGACTCCAGTGATAGCATCCTTCGACCATTCGAAACCAGAGCGTTCGAGGTCTGATATTTTCTCATCGATCTTGCGAAAATAATCACCAATGTCCGATACATCATCATATTTAATCTCCAACACTTCCTTCCAAGTTGCCATATGACCACTACGACTAGGGAAGAAGAACAGCGCGCGAATGGTACGGAAAGCATCTTTGGCCGAGCCAGATAGGCGACGTTGGATCTCGAAGGGCACCGTGAGTTCAATCATCGAATAAACAACCGCGTCGCCATCAGGGTCGGACGTCTTCATACCATCTTTTGAAAGATAATCGGTCGTCTTCGTAACACGATCTACGCATCGGCCAATTTTGAACTCCCATTCAGCATAATTAGAACCGTCCGTTTTAAGAGTTTCGACCGAGTTCTTAACATAAGTAGGCATAGACAGTTGAAATTTGTTGGATCGGTAGTCTTCGACAGAGGCAGAAGAGGTTTGATGAGGAGGTGGTTGACGAGTACCCGGTGGAACACCAGGAGGAGGGATTCCGGCAGTAGACATCTTCGAATTTGATGGTCGACGAACAGACTTGGAAGGGTGGAAAATTTTCTTAATCTCTAAAAGAGTAGCAGTTGAATAAGTGGAGATTTGAGGAGAAGGTTGAAAAATTAGACCTTTCGGAGCGGAGAAAGGAACTTGCGAGAGAGGTGTGGGCAGAGGGTTAAGTCGGCGATTATGGAAATAAGATTGAGGGGGCGAATGAAGAGATAAAAGTGAAAAACGAAAAATAAAATGTAATTTGTTGATAGGTATAGGGGGATATATTGAATCGGAAGTTGGGGGGTAAACTGAAGGAATAATCGGTCTTAAACCGGGATGGCGTTCTAAACTTTCTAAGACTTCAGGATGTTTCTTTATAAATTTCGGTAATTCAATTTCGCTTTTCTGTAATATTTCGTCTTTAACTTTCTCTTTCTTCTTGTATGATCGCTTTACTATTGGTTTCGCTTCCCCGTAATCTTTCTTTCTTGTTCGCATGAAACTGTGACTATCGGAATTCGCTCACGCAGTGGCAGTGCGGGCTCATAACCTGTAGTGACAGAGTCTCAGGTGAGCACTCTGTGTCTCGCTCGATGTTCCGGCTCCAACGGTCTGTATTCCAAGGACTACAACAAGATAGAGGAATGGGCTAACCTGTAGTGACAGAGTCTCAGGTGAGCACTCTGTGTCTCGCTCGATGTTCCGGCTCCAACGGTGAAGAGCCAGAATATCGAGGAGCGGTACAACTATAAGAAGTAAGATCACTAAACCTAAGCCCCGAGCTTTGTCGTAGACGTGGCCCCGTTCACTAACCTAGCCACTATGGCCTCCGGCCATAACAATGATTAGACTTAATCAACATAAACTTCGAAAAGATACACACTACAATTCCCTTACCTTGAGCTGATTTAATGAGAGTTTTATCTTGGGTTCCTACGATGATCTCAATAACCACTTGAACAGAAGCAAACACTTCGACAACAAGATCTTTGTAACCGTTCTAAAGAGAATCAAACCTTTATCAGAATAAATCAATCAAATTTTCTTCAATCTTCAAAGTTAAACTTACAAGGTCAACTTCACCTTTACCGGTGCAGTTACAACCCTTCATACCATTAATAAAGTCTTCAAAAGCTTCAACTACAACTTGTAAATCGGTCTCAATAAGAACCTGAGCTTTATCTTCATGAACATGCTTGGCTATCTGTTTTGCTTTTTGATTGATTTTATCAACAGCAGGTTTAGTGTATTGTCCAGGATCTTTCTGTGATCGACGCGCCAAGCTGAATAAGAAAATTATCAGAAACAGGGCAGCATTTAAAAACAATCAAGTAGAATTGGTGTGTTTTACTCACCTGGAAACTCCAGATAGCTCGGGTACGCTGAGAGAAGCAGCAGTGTGGCCTATGATGAAGAGAAAGCATGAACGTGTTAAGAAATTAATTTTGCTTCCCGCTTCTTTAATTGAACAATTGAAAATTGGTACGAACACAAAAGTGCTATTGGCAGGATGATGGAAGTTGAGAAGAGCATGATGATATGTTAAAATGAATAATACAGCTATTTCGCAAATTCGTGTCATGATTTCAAAACGAAATCGTTTTTCTTTTTAGGTTTAAGTTAAATGAGGAACCATACAGTTGTAAATCATCCTTATATGGCTTACCTCAAAGAGCCTTGAAGAGATCACGTGTCAAGATCATGATCACTGACGAAGATCAGGATGCCCGAGACCGGGTGGTCATTCCACTGTGCCGAATTGATGACTCGGCATAATGCTCGGCATAATGATGCCCCAACGCTTTTAGGTTGGCACTGCCACATACTCCATACATAAAAGCACTTGTGTGCTATTGTCTCATCCTTCGCGCCAGCAAAAACCATCCATTCAATGTCATATCCAACTGAAGAGTGAGGGACTTGACCTATCTTACTTTCCGTCTTCAGACCCATCTGATCCTGCCTTTTGCTTCGCTATGTTGCAGACAATATATCGACAGTTTGTTTTCGCCAATGTGTGATTACCGCGCCCTATCCCATGAGGCGAACATGATCTCTCAGAATGTTGTACCGCGTCCGCAGTAAGTCTTCACAATTCCAAATCTATATTTGGTACCCAGATGACTGATTTTGTGCCTGTCCAATAAGGTACAACATCCTCAATGAAGGCTTTGGAAATTCGAATTTCTTTGGAACTGTAGGTGACCAATCAATGAACGATGTCAGTGGAACGGTACATGGTCAAGGTATGTGTACAATTATATTAGCGTAGTACACCTACTGATGTGGTTTTGTCATATGAAAACTTTGATGTCTGAACTGTAGTTGATGTACCAATGACCAACGGCACTGATCGCGAGCCTGTTGTGTTTGATGACGAAGATCGAACTTTTCAAATACAGTTCAACGTGTGGCAGAAGGTTCCCCCTCCTGAGATTCGAGTCCAAGCAAAGAAATCGAAGAGCAAGCCCAACAAGCCTGCTGCCCCGTTGAAACCCCACGTTCCTCGATGGGTGAATTACCGTCCTCCCCGACCTGCGAAGAAAGAGCTTCGATTGTCGTTTTATTCCACTTTCGGTTGGCATCTGTTCAAACGCAGGCTTTTGGAAGCCTGTAATCTGGTTAAGCCTGGTATATCAAGGCCTCTCATGGAGGCGGTTGCGGATGGCGAGGCTTTCTGTGAGGGTTGGATTCACGGAGCTCCTCGTTTTAAGGTCAAGGATCACTTTTTAGTGCATGACAACGCTTCTCTTATGGAATTTCTTGAGGCGGCCAACAACCACACTCCAGAAACCAACATGGGTTTCAAATTCATACACGCGAATCCAAGAACCAATGCCCAAGCATCTCAAATCTTGGATGGTGGCGATCGTGATCCTTCTCCTGATCCGTCTGATGACGGTAGTGAGATGTCAACTGATGTAAGTACAATCTTCTCATATCATATTCTTATTCTTGAATCTCACCATTTCGTTCTACTCAGTCTGATGCTCTAGATCCCACTGAAAGGAAGTACTTAATCTTAATGACTCGATTTGAAGCAATGTTTGCATCTGGTGAGAACATCGCCACTGCAGTCAATCCTGCAAACTCAGCACAAGTGTTGTTGCTCAACACTTCCAGGATCCGTACCTGGGCTAAGGATTGGGTGAGTTACTAGCTTCCAACATATGCTTCGATATGTGTAGCTGATTGTCTCACCTGTCGGTAATAGGCTGACGGTGTTCCAGGGGTGGATGAGGTCAATCCGCCAATGGCTCGCCCCGAATTCAAGTACATACGAGTTCTTGACTACGAGCGCGAGAAGGCTATCCTCCTTGGGTATGCCATAAATCCAGCCCCGTCTGCCGTTGGAAGTACTCCATCTGTAGTTCATCATAACTACTATGGAAACCCTGACGGTAATCATCCCCCAGCTTACACGCCAAATCCAACCACTCGTGCTTTATCGCCGCCACCTGGTCCAGTTCCTTTCAACGACTTCCTCACCTTTGCTGGAATCGGTCCCGACAAGCAAAAAGCTCGTGCTGCTTTAGAAAACGAAGGAATCGATGACTTTTTTCGATTCCTTGACCGCGAGACTTATTCTATCGCCAACCTCCGCACTATGGGTATCCCATTTGCTCAAGCCGAGGACATATGGAAAGCAGTACCCCGCTTCATTCATCATCTAAAGTCCTTATGATTGTTTACTTGAACTATCTAAAAACCCAGGATTGATTTGCATTCTTGGATGAATGTTAGAAATCTTTGTATCTGTTACCTCGAGTCTCTAGCATTATTATTATTTGCAAATGTTCTTGCATTATACTAGTATTATGGTGTCCTGGTCACCCTTCATCTTTTTAGTTGTTGAGCTGTTTGTTAGTGTTGTTGTTATATATGTCATCTATATTGGCCTCATACTAGTTGTATTTGTATGATCCTCACCGCAATGACATATTTTCAAATCAATCACTTGACATTGATAACAAATCTCAAGAAATATCTTTGAAAATCCCATTTGTGTCACTCAAATGGGGTGTCTTAGCTCAGGAATTGTTCATAAGAGACCCAAGAATGACTTGGGATCAACTCGAAATGCCATGTTTGACATCAATCAAATGTGCAGAGCTGAAAATTTCATGTCGTATCTTCACTTCAAGAGTGTCATGATCGCATGAATAGGTGAACTTTCAGTACCAAGTTTCTCCAATATGATTTTCACATTTACTCTCAGCTAGTGACCTTGATAGTCATAAAGTGCGATTTTTAAATGGGTTGAAGTATCAATTTATTGTATTACTGAACATAATGTTAAATTGTATTGTATAACTGGTACGATTATAAGAAATTATGTATGAGATTTAACAAATTTTTACCAATTGGTCAAAATTAAAAACAATAACACTATTAAAAACAATAACACTAATACTCATGTTTATGAAACACAGCCAAGTGGATGTGTTAAAGTAGCACAAATTTGATAAAAAAAGAAGTATAATATGTTTTGTGCAACTATATCCAATAGCCACAAACAGCATATAATCGATTTATGAGGGAACCTGAGAGAACTCTCCACGCAGTGTCCAAGATACAATCTACCTTCTCATCTCGATTAGCTAGTTGAAGGAATTGGGATCGTACAAAGAAAGCTTTCAATACTGAGAAAGCCTTCTCGATAGGATTGAAGTCAGGTGAGTAGGCTGGGAGATAGATGATGCGGATTCCTTTCTCTTCGGCTAACTCTGATATTCGGCCTCCGTGGTGAATACTAGCGTTGTCTAAGATCAAGACCGAGTTAGCTTGCGGATAGGGGTTCATGACCGGCAACTGTATCAAAAGACTTGTTAGATATGTTCTTTGGCTACATAAAGAGAATTAAAACGATCACCCACAAGTTTATGCTTCAAGAAAGACTCAAAGTCTTTGCGCAAAAAGCTGCCACTTTGACATGCCATTGCCAATACACCACCTTGAAATATCGCCGGTAAAAGAGTGTAGCGCTTGCTACTACGACCTCGGGGGATTCTTCTCGTACGTTGGCCTCGCTTTGCACGTGCAAAATTCCTATAAAGTGAGCGCTCCATGATTGAGCATTCGTCTGATGCATTCAGGAAAGGTTAGTATCATCTCAGTATCATTTGTTAAAACAAGACATACCTAGAAACACCATCATATTGGGATTCAATTGGCCAACGCTATTCAAGAACTTGGCACGCTTGGCGGGGTTCTGGTTTGGATGGACAGTTCGGGCTTTTTTGAGCGTGAGGGAGAGTCGATTCTTGAGCTCTGTCGCGAGAGTGGACAAAGCCGACCATTGACCAGTGTGGCGATACATGGATTGTTGATACTCATCAAGGTAGAGTGTCGGATCTTGATCCACAAGGCCGATGATGAACTCCCGATCGTCATCTGAAAGTGTGGTCTGTCGGCCTAGGTCCTCGTATTCAGCAGGATCACGGATAACACAAGCAGTTCGAGCGTTGTGGTGATCTATTTATGACATTAAGCAAAAAAATTAATCATCTTTACTTTACCAGTTTATTAGCAAACTTCAATATAGCAGAGGATTCGAAATTCAGGTTTTCAGATCAATTGAAGCTCTTAGAGGCTTATGTATACTTATTGGATCATTATTATGTCATCTTAGTTCAAAAATATTATTAAGATCAACATAGTTTACTTACAAAGTTATTACAAAAAGACAGAAAAAGAAAAGATAAGAAAAATTCGAAAATATAGGTGTAAAAGTTGGAAAATGGTTTTTAGCTTATTTATAATTAAGTTATGGGTTTTATAAGGTTAGAATATGAAAGAACAACAGTTTATTATACAGGAACAATTTTAATATTCAAGGTTGATAAGGGGAAACAGAAGTTATTAGCAGGAAGGTACTTTTTCGAAGTTGGTAAACAAGGGTTAGGCGTGTAGTTTACATATGTAATGGTGGTAGTAGTAGAAATTAAGGTTGCCAAGAGGATTTTCCGGGATTTTTAAGGTTATAGAAGATGATGTCATATTACATGAGCAAGGAAAAGAGAGTAGTAGCTGTGAAAAGTGAAGAAAACAGGTGAAAATCGGCGAAAATGGAGGTTTTCAGCTAATTACATATGTCAAATGACGTCAGAATAAGTTGGTAGATGGCTCATTCAACGCAGAAGAGTGGATTACATAATGTACAACCTTTAAATCATTAGTAACGGAGGTGTATGTAAAAAGTTATAAGGGAAATAAGAAATTGGCGTGAATCTCGAATTTACAGTCACAAGACACATGTAACACCAAAAACCTTAACTTCACAACTCAATATCTTACTCATCACTCATCAGAAATAGGTCTTATAGGTGTCAGAAATGATCAGTAACACGTGGGCTACAAGATTCACTTTA